AATAGGCTAAACTTATTCGGCGAAAGTGTAAAGGGCCATGAAAAAGGAAGAAAACAAAACCGCATTAACATGCCCTGCAATCATTTATTTAGTGCCAACGCAGGACCAAAACACACCGGTAGTTTACTGAGTACAGAATATATAAATGTGTTTATACATACTGGAACCAGCCACATTATTACGACTAACCGATCTCACAGAATGACGCGACCGCCAATGATGCTGTAAAAGGTTTCAGGACGGTGTGAAAAATACGCGCCCTTGGCTGTGGCTTCGAAATCATACGTATATAAGTAGTCAAAGTGCGGCATTTTCGTTTGAATTATCTCGCTAGCTGTTAGACCCGATTGCTGATCGAGCTCATCTAAAGTGCATTTGCATATAGCATTAACGTTAAACAAAGCAATAAACAACGTGTCAGACATTAGCGAAAGTTTGGTTTGTACTTTGGTCCAAGTATTGGGCTACGCCAGTCATCGAGTACAGTTGAAAAAAAAAAGGTCTGGCAAATGGTTAGGCAATTATGTTGCATACTTGAAACGTTATTGCACCACAAAGATTTAACGAAGTTAGTTTAGCCGCAGGTCTAGCGAGTTCACTCGGACGCCTACGTTCACGGTGCTTTTCATCAGACAATTTAACGCGCGGCATGTGTACACTTCAAATGATAAACCTGGTGATCTTGATTAGCCTTCTAATTCTTTTCCTTCCCTCCCACCTTGTCTCCTCGCCTATGGCTTCTCCTCACTCCACCCATGGTCACATGACCTCCCCATTCACTCTTCTCCCACCCGTCAACAAATCAGTGGCGAGCCTCGCGGCCACTCTTTTATATATCCATTTTTTTTTCTTTTGGGCTCGATAATTTGCCGAACAGCTAACCAAATAAATTTGCTGCAAAAAGAAAAAAAAATAAAGAAATCTCAAGCTGGGTGTTCAGTAATGTTTCAGGTATGTTATGCCCGAATGAAAGCTTCTACATTCACTCTCTTGTAGAACAAGAGGTTACCTATCCCTGCGATTCCATAAGAATCTTAACGAAGTAAACAAAAATCAGAATGCGATTCCACTTTAACATGCATGTGCGTGGGAAAAATCCGCATGATGTTTCTAGTATTTTTTTTTGTACTAAACCGCATCGAAATATTTTCAGGTAAACCGTTATTTTTTATTTTTTGATTACCGTAACCCTTCCACTATCCAAAGTGATTTGTTACCTTCACTGTCGAGAGGGATGCGATGACACGGTGTTACAATTATCCTGGGAAAGCGAACGTGGGCCGCAATAGACCATTTGCTATATCCCCCAAGTGCCCCGGCTCACGCCAAAAGAATTATGGGAACGGTATTCCTTCAGCCCCTTAGAGATTAGTAATTTCGACCCTGTTTTTGGTTACACAGGTTTTGAGTGTAATACGGGGTCACCGTGAACAAGCACCTGATACACCCCAATGACCTGTCGTATCGCTTTTAAATTTCTCCTCAGTGTCAGCGTTTTTGATACTGTGCATGCTGTCCACCCTTCAAAATGGATGGGCAGCAGAAATCTCTTACATTATTTTCATGCTGATATGAAGTTAGAAACGCTAAAAATGCTATAAACAGCCTCACGGACTCCGAGCTAAATCCTGTTTTTTCTTGTTGTGAATTATCGGCTTTTTAAGCAATTCCTGCTCAAACAACAATCACGAGAATGATAATATTGTAAGATATTTCTACAACTCAATCAGGTAAAAAGGTGGATCGCATGCACAGTATCAAAAATGCTTTTTGCGTGCGGCTTTTTGCGCTTTACTACATTGGAAGCCGAGTGCAGGAACGTTTCACGCTAAAATAACGCTGCTTAAAATGTTAGCGCACTCTTTTTTTACGGTCAGCGTCGAGCAAAGCGATTCAATAAAGGATTACGAAACCCAACTTTACCACATACACTCGCAAAAACAAAATTACAGCGACCTTTATTTCTAGTTTTATTATGCATAAAATGCCGTATTAAGGAGCGGTCGTTTAAAAACTATCTGGGAGATATTAAACCGCCGTTTCGGGAATCGTAACCCTACCGAAAAATCCGGTATAACTTTTCCCTATCCGGATTATGGAACCGGAAATTTGTTTCTGGAAACCCGAAATCCAGATTGTAGACAAAGGAATAATTTCTGAAAATCTAAATTCCAGATAGATTCCGGATAGAATCCAGATAGATTTCCGGTTCCATAATCCGGATAGCGAAAAGTTATACCGGATTTTTCGATAGGGAACCTATTTATTTTTATAAATTTCCCCGTACACTGAGCGAGGAAACTAGGTGCATGAGTCGTGCGACGTCAATTTTCCTGCAAGATTTAGTGGGAAAAGTATTTTTACGTGTGTGTCACTAACGTGTCGTCAGGTCATCTGACGATTTTCCCGCCAAATTTAGCGGGCAAACTAAATTGGTCTTAGGACACGTGACCTGATATCACGTGACGTTAATTTCTCCACCAGAATTAGAAGAAAAGCTAACTTGGTGAGTAGGTCTCGTGACGTCATGTTATTTGATCTCGAATTTCCCGCTGAATTTAGCGGGGAAAGGTGATTGGTATATAGGTCACGTGACGTTGGGTCACGTTACATTAATTTTCTTATGAAATTTATCGGAGAAATTGAATTGAGGCATGGATTTAGTGACACCATGTTATTTACCGCCGACTTTGGGGAGAAACGTACCCAGGTAGCACGCCAGAGGAATGCCCAACTTGGGCAAAGGTCTGGCAATCATAAGGGCCCAACTTTGGCTCAGTTAGGTTTTTGCACCATGGCACTCATCAGTGCCAAAGTATGGTGCCTAACTATTGCCAAAGTTGGGCGATCCTAGGGCATGCCAAAGTTTGGCTCTTCTCTGGTACGCCAGAGGAGTGCCAAAGCTGGTGCCATACTTCAGCCATATCTGCCATAGTAAATCCTAATCTCGGAATTCGGGGCATGCCGAGGTTTGGCGTTTCTCTGGTCCGCCAGAGGAGCGCCAAATTTGGTGCCATACTTCAGCCATAACTGCCAGAGCAACGCCTAATTTCGGTATTTGGGACGGGCCAAAGTTTGCGCGGCATGCCAAAGTTTGGCTCTTCTCTGGTACGCCAGAGGAGTGCCAAAGCTGGTGCCATACTTCAGCCATACCTACCATAGTAAATCCTAATCTGGGAATTCGGGGCATGCCAAGGTTTGGCGTTTCTCTGGTCCGCCAGAGTAGCGCCAAATTTGGTGCCATACTTCAGCCATAACTGCCAGAGCAGCGCCAAATTTGGTGCCATACTTCAGCCATAACTGCCAGAGCAGCGCCAAATTTGGTGCCATACTTCAGCCATAACTGCCAGAGGAGCGCCAAATTTGGTGCCATACTTCAGCCATAACTGCCAGAGCAACGCCTAATTTCGGTATTTGGGACGGGCCAAAGTTTGACTTTTCTCTGGTCTGCCACAGAAGTGCCGAAGTAGTGCGATACTTGAGCCATAACTGCCAGATCAACGCCTAATTTGGGTATTTTGGACATGCCAATGTTTGGCTTTTCTCTGGTCCGCCAAAGTAGTCAATTGGCGAGGAGATCGAACTATAGGGTGCGCTGCGTTCACCAAAACAAACACATCTCCGATGTTCCAGTGTGCTGCCGTTGGCTGCCGTGTTGTTTCCGCGTTCCCTGCGGGTTTGTTAGAATATGGTACACGCTTGGGTTGCGTACCGGAGTGCTCAGCGCATGCTTTAAAGTCTGGAGGTAGCTTTCATAGCTTTCCTGCCGAAAAAGAAACTGAAATCGCAGTGGAAAGGTTAAGAGTAGAGAAGAAGTTGACTGCGCACGACGTGTATTCTCACGCGATGCCTTCCAAGCAAACTACGCTACTGGACGAGGTATGTACGCGCGTAAATCACGCTTCCATCGACATCCGTTCAAACCGTACATTGTATTTCATAGGTAGTGGATATTCTTCCGGCAGCCGGTAGAACTAACCGGGTGAAAAACAACAAAGCTGCCGATAGTTGTTGCCATTGGGTTTCGTATAAAAGGAATAGTCAAAGCGTGCATTTGAAGGTGCGTGAGTAGCTCAGTGGAAAGTTGTCCGCGTCATATGCGTTGGGTCGCGGGTTCAAATCCCCAGGAAACCAAACTTTTTTTTTTTTTTTTTTTTTTTTTAAACGTTTGGCAATATTTTTTTTTTTTTTTTTTACAATAATTATTGCCCTTTGAAACTCTCGGCAGTTCTTTTCCCGAGTGTTGTGCCCGGCTGCCGGCACAACCACTTTCATAACAGGGCCCAAGAGGAGGTTCTTGAAAACGCCGTTCCGTCGGAGAACCTTCCGAAGGGATCACACGACAAGGTCGTGAGGCTTCGGAAGCCACCGAGAGGTACTGCTATCATTTCATCTCTATTTTATTCCAGGCTAGCTTTGCAAATGAGCGTATGACTAAGGCCTCATCGTGCAGAACGCATTGATATTTCATTGTGAACCTTCGAATAACCGATAAATTTAACTGAAAAAGACAACTTGTACGTTTAATGCCAATATGCAGTCTAATTAGCAACATTCTACATTATAACGCTCGCCGTCGTGTTCTGTATTTTGGCATTTCAAGGAAAACATAATGTAATGACTATTTTGGTTGATGTTTTGGTGAAACTTCCACAGGTAACAGGGCAGCATCCGACACGAGCTGCTTGCCTCCTGGTGCTGCAGCATCAACACAGCACCTCCTGACTGCTTTCGAGAATGTGCAACAGACTGTGAGTTTATTACTAGGTCACCTCCTCACACTCAATGACGGCTTGCCAAGTTACTGTCTCTTTGTATGTCAGAGGCTGTTCTTGTGTAATACAGAAGTGTTGGAAAGCTAGGCTAAATGCCACCTTGCCCATTTGAATGGGTTGAATCTGAGAATAACAACCTGCATTTTTATCTGGTACATTCCTTGTTTGAGATAGTGTAGTAGTTTTGTAACTATCCCTTGCAAATTACACTAGGTGAGAGCGATGAGACCGTTTCCTGTGATGGGGACAGCGAGGCCACTCTCACCTGTGACGAGCACTGCGCGGAGACCAGCAGTCACTGCAGTGACAGTGAAATACAATGCAAGTTTTGTGACCACCGCATGCCAATTTATTGTGATTTCGGCATTACAAAACATTTCATTTCCAGCGACTGCCTGAAAAAAAGATTGGTTATACTTGCGGTGTCCAACTCCTAAATTTCCTTCGAAGTATGCTCCTTGCGCATTTGAACACTTAACCCAGCAGTCTTCCATTGCTGGAAACATTTATGGAAGTTATGCTTTGGTATAGTTGCCACCTATGCTGTTGTATTCATTTTGTGCGTGTTCTGCCGTTTTCACCTTTAGGGTCATAACATTTTGGCGGAACTTGATGAAAAAGCAGTGTTGGTCAAGCAGAAAGATTCACACTTGGGCAGGAGGACAAATCTTTATTAAAATAAAGAGCCCCTTACTCGAGAGCCAGGTGAAAAAATAAGTGTTAGGCGTCTGGAGAAGCTTGGTGAATATCGGCCATGGGGGCCTAGCACCATGGTACCGCATCAGCGGCGTCCGGGGGGGGAGGGGCGAGCCTCTCCTGAGGTGAACAAAGAGGGCTGATAATTAGGACTGAAGGCATCAAGGTGATGGTGAGATGCGAGGGCGTGTGGAAAATTCCTGAGCATCTGAGGGCTGTCAGTGTACTCCGAGCAGTTATCGGATCGGGGACGATGCGGGGAATCGGATGGGGTAGAGGAGGACGGGGAGCATGGGATAGTTTCAGCTTTCCAAAAAAGAAATTCTACAGTTTCCGGGATAGTGGCAAATACTTTGGTTGCACTGTGGGCCGCAAAAAGCTGCTTACAGGCACCATATGACACGGCTGTATTTTGTGTAGCCTCGCTGCAGTCATGGTACATATGAAGGTGAACATAAGACCATCAATCACTCCGCACCTGCAGCATCATGAAGCTATGGCCATGGTAGCTTGTTCGCCTTTTGACGCTTCTGGAACTGAGCTGCAGGGCACTATGGCCACTGCTCCATGGCACTGCCAGTACGGAGTGGTTGGTGATCCGACGTTCACATCCATGTGGGTCATGACTGCACACACACTGTAAGGAAATGCTGAAAATGTAAATTTCTGTTACATTCTTTTTTTTTTTTTTTTTGTAGGGCCCCACGACTCCCTTTTGAACATCCAAAAGGAATTGCCTGCCCAGGATGCCTGCGTTCAAGTAGACAGCATGTTGCAGGCGAAGCTAGGGCCCCACGTTCGCTTGGCGAAAGCTAAAAGTGACAGCGAGCTTGCCTCACTAACTGGGGTTGGATCTCTACAACTAATGAGAAACATTGTAACAGAGTTCGATAGTGTGCGAGCAAAGCTTTCTTCGAGGAGCTTCCTGCTTTCTTCAGGTGACACTGTGCTCATCACATTGATGAAGCTCTATCATGATGTCATTATCAGTTTCCTAGCGTTCCTTTTCAGGATACATAGAACAACGGCGTCTGAGAACGTGAAGATGTCCCTTTGTGTCCTGAGTTCGGTTTTAGGGTCAGCCCTGTATGTTCCCTGCGACCAGTCTATTGAGAACAACCTCACAGTTTACTTTAAAAGTTTCCTCGCACGAAAGTTATTCTGGACTGCACTGAGATCCCCATCCAGCGACCACTTGACCTTGCATCCAGGATACTGATGTACAGTCATTATAAGAAAACCTACACCCTAAAAGTGCTGATTGGGTACGCACCAACTGGCATGTTTACGTTCGTGAGCCGTGCTTTTGGGGGACGGACTTCGCATTCTTTTATCACAAAGGAATCGAGTTCTGGAGAGGTGCTCACCGTACGAGCAGGTAATGGTCGACAAGGGCTTCCTTATTGACAAGCTTTGCGACGAGGCTCTTGTCGAGCTTGTGCAGCCTCCATTTCTGAGGAACAAGCAACAGATGACTGAACATGACGCACTCGGGAACCAAGATATCGCACTTGCACGTGTCCACGTGGAACGTGCCATTCAACGACTAAAAGTGTTCAAGATTCTGCAGCATCATTTTCCTAAGCACCTGCTTCCTGTTTGACGATGTAATGCAGCTCCTTGCAGGTATCGTAAACCTTTCACTGCCAATTTTTGCAGAAGATAAGTTTCTGTAGCTGGCAAGGAAGCCACATGTAAATAGAGTAAATATGCGTATTAGCGGCTTGTATCATCATTTATGCGGGTTCAAACATCGGGAAAAGTGCTCGCAATGTGATGAAGGCTTTGTGCGGAAAAGGTGCTAGTCTATAAAATGTGTAACAGAAAACTCGGTATGCTGGATGGGATCAGTGCAACTTCAGACCAGTTTTGTGCGAGGCTTATGAAATTTTTCTAAAAGCCGGTTAACTTTAACCGCAGTAAAAATTTAATCGCATTTCCTTACGAGGGGAAATTTTAGGTCACGTGACTGGAAGATTAAGGCAGCAGGGAAACATGGCGGTGCCTTTGTGAGCGAGCACTGCTCGCTTTGGAACTAATATGTCATGTAGCTGCAATATTGGGCACGGTAGTCAGCAGTGAATATTGCAGGAGGCTTTTGCTTGGCCTTACGTCATTTACGCGCTGTCATCAAGAGATGAAAATGATGGGACAGTATCTCAACTAGATTGCACGTATGCTAAATAAATGAGTAAATAGTTAAAAAAATAAGCCTCTAGTTATTATGAATTGGCTCACGACAAATACACTTGACATCAGTGCGCCTAGTCTTGATGGGTGCATGGGTAGTCTTGATGACGGCGTGTCAGTTATGATGCGAAGCTATATCCATGCTAAGCGTGTGCTAAAAAATGAGAAATAAAGAAGTTCATTTCAATTGTGCCTCATTGTTTCTATGCCTGATTTGCCCAAGAGGGTTGCACAGTAGTCGTTTTGCACGGCTTCCATAGCGCACAGTACTGCAGCACACCTTGGATAAAAACAAAAAAGGAAGCTAGTTAAATGCCCCCCTTAGCTCAGCGAAAAGATAGTCCACATATATTGACCGTACAGCATGCACACATTCCTCGAAGTGAGCATGATCATACTTCACTTCAACTAGCTTGTAGTCTGTTTCTGAGACATAAGCAAAAAAGTCGCAACTTGCGAGTGCAGTGATACCCATGCAAACCTGCATCTGCATGTAGTAGACGGACTGGGGCTCTCTAGTTTTTTTACAGAACGAATTCTAGACGACCTCTGGGCATTCGACTTCCAGAAGCACCCGCTTTCCCTGACAACATTCACACTCAAACACCACGATCCCATCGGGCGAACTCTCCATAATGGGCATTTGGCCCCATATTATCAGCCCTCCGTTCTCAATCCTAGGACAATGTCCTTCCTTCACCAGCTTTGATAGGTATTTCTCTTTCGCAGTTCCCTCCTTCTGCTGTCCCCTCTTCATTGACGCTGACTGAAATGTGCTGACTTGCAACACTTTGTCAAGGAGACCTCTCAAGTTGTGCGGCCGTGGTTGAGCCTTTAGTGACAGCGCGGGTAAAGAACCCACGGCATATGGATGCAGTGGCCATACCCCTCCTGTACAGCATCCAATCAGATGATGAGGCCTGTGCCCTTGTCATGCGCTCAACTTCCGCAATAGCCTCTCGTGTCATTATGCGCTTGAGTTGCTCCAGCAGGTTTTCGGTCTCCTCCTCAGGCAGGTCCTGAAGCGCTTCAAGCAGGCTTCAGGGTCGAGGCACAGCTGCTGAAGTGCTGGCTCCACCTGTCTCTGAAATAGGGGACGTAACTTATGGCACAGGAGTTATAATAGTATACTGGTGGGCATTAGCCTACCTCAGAGCCGTATATGTAGAGAGTTTGGCCATTTGTTGGGAAGTATAGGAGACCAATGAGGAGGCGCCATTGGCCGAAAGCGGGCTGGGCGTGTTCCAGGGCGTCTTCAGAAATTCGAATGTGACCAACCAAAAGCCGGAAATAATACCCTGGCGGTGGTCGCGGGAACAAACCTGATAACTGCATTGGAGTAACTCTGGATGGCTGAAAATATGGTACACGTGATGTACCAATCACGCTCATCAAAAATGATGGTGGAAGAGTGCAAGTAGCGGAACGATCGACATAATCCGTACGTCAAACGCCAAGGGCCGAGAATCTGCCATTTGAGCGGTCACACACTGTCCGCGCAAAACAGAGTTGAGCGGCGCATTCGTTTCTTACATCGTTCTCGATAATCATGATCAAAACAACACGTGAGCCTATTTTCAACCACCAAGAGTTACTACACTTCACTCTTACGCACTTATTAAAACCATATACGAACACAGACTTTCGATCAGAACTGTTTCTCGCTATCACCGCTAGGGGATTCTTTTCGGCTTCTGGTTGGTGAAGAGAGCATGGCAAGCCCTCTTTCCGAGTCTGCCGCACGCCCTGGCTCTGCCTGCGCCTCCCATTGACCAAACTCTCTACATATACGGCTCTGGCCTACCTTAGCCCCATTGTGGAACAGTGCCTAGAGTCACAAGATCACAACTGGGATAACCTTCACATGTTACGGCATTGCACTTTACTAGTTTCGCCATAGAAAAAGGCATGACTGCACCTTGTAATGAGTTAGGTATGTTTAAACAAGAGATTGGGAGAAAAGTCTTTGCAAAAAAAAACGAGATTTACCTTTTCGTGTTCTCTTCCTTTTGTGAATAGCGACAGGACAGATGTGCGGAAGGCCTTCCATAAGTCTGTCCACGACACAACGCTCGACGGCTGGCAAGGCAGGTCGCTTGAACTGTAATAGTTTGCAGGTACATTCAATTAAATGTGTTGTTCACCTTCGTGACTCTTGAGATCCAGAGAACAATTAGTAATTCACCAAGTCTTAGATAGAGCATCATGTTTTAATTTCCACGAGCCACAAACACCCCTTATCTAGGTTAATGTTAAACTCATATAGCTGATGGCATCAAAGATTGTGATTGGTCAGAGATGTAGGAAATCTCTTTTAAAAACAAAAAAAACAATGGCAACGCTTTGTCGCCATGACTGCCACTCAGCAGCGGAATACACTGTAGAGGCGCAGGGCGCAGTGGCTAGCAGACGACAGCCGCTTGCGGCCACAGTTTAAGGGTAAACATGTAGCCAATTGGCCAGCCACTTTTCTACCACCAATTGGCCACGCCAAGCTGGCATCTTTCATCAGGAAGGGATCCTGTTTGCTTGGTTTAGTAAATTTCATTACGCCGAACAATTTGTTTCCAAGCAATGCACGTTTCAAGAAACTTTTTTTGCTATGTTTCGCTACGTTCACCGCAGTTGAAGCTCAGCACAAAAATTTAAACCAGTCTAAACATAATTGGCACGAAAATATTTAAAACAGACTATCCACTAATACCCTAATGCGCCTGGCTATCTGTGATTTGTCTGTATGGAACACTGAGAGACCAGCAGCCAGGACAAGGCTCTTGGAGAGAGGCCCATACCAGAACTGGGCACCGGCTTCCAAGACAACGGAAGTTGCTCACCAGTATTTCTGGAGACAAGTCAATGGTGTCCAAAGGGGTCTTTGTTTGGTTAGGGTACCTAGAGGCGTCTCTGAGCAACCGCACCCCACATTCTACCCTCAACTTAAATGCGGCTTGGACACAACCACCCTGGCTGGAATAACGGTCAGGGTAGCTGCCTGGTTCATTATTCGGAGTCGGACTGGCATTGTTGCCTTTGTCTAGCCCTGATGTTGTCCGAGACAGGCTTGCAATAAAGGTAGACAATGGAGTATCGGGAAGCGATCTGCAGGGCCATTTTTCTGCCTTTAGTATGGTTGGAGGTCCCTTTTGTTGTGAGCGACTTGTCTCCAGCTACTCGAGCATTTTCCAGGAACTTCAGCAGCTAGCTCCAGCTGTTTGCATATTCCTTAACATGGCAGCCAAGTTCTAGTTTCAGGCGTACTTTCCAAGTGCCAGCCCAGGCTGTCGCCAGCTGGCTGGGCGCATTCTGGCCCCGAGCTAAACGTAACTGAACTCTGCACGGCGATCATGCGCTGTCAATCCGACCAGCAATGCACTTGTTATAAAAGCATGCATACACTATTGAAGGCTACCATTATTTTTAAACAAGCATTATATCTACCTACATGCAGGGTACAGATGTTATAAATCTGCACTGGCATTTCAAGATAGCGGGACTTCAAAAAAAATATGCACATATTCGCTGTGCACAGCACTCACCTTTGGGCAGAAGGGGATCTCCATGAGAGACCTCACTGCATACTTGGTCTTGACGACATCCTTCGCATGCTGGCCCCAAGCCTGCGGCAAGTCTGTGCTTGACAACTGGAAGCTCTTGCATCCTGTTGGTTTTCAGCAGGACAGCAGTGCAGTGCTTGCATTCGCTTGACTTTCTGGGGGCAGCACAAACACACATCTGTTATATCTCTTGCATTCTACACCACTTCTACAACACCTCGTAGATTTCCTCACTTAAATCAGTTCTTAACTACGGAATGCCTAGGCAGTGCAACATTTCATAACAAAACTACCTTGCAGATTAAGAGAACGATGAAGGAACTGATGTCGTCTAATAAAACGTGGTTTATCGCCTAACCCCTCTCGTTAAAAAAAAACGCAGTGGAAACGTGCATTCTTGCCCTGCAGGGCACGTGCAGCACAGAGAGACAATCTCCCCTTTGTTCAGAGTGAGATGCACTGTATGCGGATCGCTGTGCAGAGCGCAGGACTGGAGGACGTATCCGACGATGCGGACGCTGTCAGCCGTCAGCTCCGGGGCGACGCTGCACTCTATCACATGATCGGACTTCGATACGTCTTCGCCTTCAACGAGGCATCTCTTGCTCTCGCCGATATGGCTGATTGTTGTTGCAAGTGACAAGGACACTGAAAAGCAATGCGCGAGTTCCGCGAGTACGGTTTCTCCAACCTAGGAAGCGCACAAACATCGCCACACCGCGTCAATCACGCACGACCTGGCACGCGCAGCCGGAGCGACGCGGCCAATCGCTAGCGGCTAGACGTGGGTTGGTTTTTGCTTCGAACGAGATAGCGGCGACATTTAAAGCAAAGCGAGACAAGCAGGGACTAATGCTACCCCCCCTGCAGATGCTTTTCGAGCAGATAACTATTCCACATACCTTTCACGAGCCTCAAGTCTTCGTCCTCCATGGCTGAACGAATACTAGCGGCGGAATTGTTATTCCCGCAAAATAGTTGCGACGGCGGCCGCTAGCCAGCGCCACCATTCGATCTCCTCCCCAATACTTGAGCCATAGCTGCCAGAGCAACTCCTAATTTGGGTATTTCAGACACGCCAAAGTTTGGCGTTTCTCTGGTTCGCCACAGGAGTGCCGAAGTAGTGCTATACTTAGGCCAGAACTGCCAGAGCAACGCCCATTTTGGGTATTTCGGACATGCCAAAGTTCGGTGTTGCTCTGGTTCGCCAAAGGAGCGCAAAAGTTGGTGCCATACTTCAGCCATAACTACCATAGTAAATTCTAATTTGGGAATTCGGGGCATACAAAAGTTTGGCATTGCTCTGGTCCGGCAGAGGAGTGCAAAAGTTGGTGCCATACTTTATCCACAATTGCCATAGTAAATTTTAATTTGGGAATTCGGGGCATATCAAAGTTTAGCATTGCTGGTCCGGCAGAAGAACACCAAAGTTGGTGCCATACTTGAGCTATTATAAATCCCAATTTGGGAATTCGGGGACAAAAAGTAGGCTTCTCTCTGGTCCGCCATAAAGTGCCAAAGCAAGCCCAGAGGCATGCCAAAGTTTGGTATTTCTACGGTTTGCCCCAGGAGTGCCAAAAGAGCCATACCTGAGCCAAAGCTGCCAGTCAATCCTAATTTGGGGGTTCAAAAGCATAAGAGTTAGCTCCTCTCTGGCTCCCCACTGGATTGTCTAACATGTGCCAAAAATGCCACAGAAAGCCCAGAGGCATGCCAAAGTTTTGTTTTTCTCTGTTTAGCCACTGGAGTGCATAAAAAAGTGACATGGATGAGCCAAGGCAAGATTGCTGAAAATGCCAGACTTCTGCCACATAAACCTGAAATAGCACCCACACACCATACCAAAATATGATTTTTGGAATACTAGACCCAAGCCAAAGTTGGTAAAGTAGGCATCTCTGAAAATTACTTAAAACTACCAATTTATGCCAATTTAACAATTTTGGCTGCATCAATTGGATTGTTATTACATATAGACTGTTTCACCTTACAATAATGTGAAGTTGATGGACTGCATTGACATGGGTGTGGGGGGGAGGGGGGCATAATCATGCAATAACTTCACCATGCTGGTCTGCCTGGGATAGCTCACAGCATCCACTGCAGATCATTGTAAAGTTAGAAGGAGTATAGCTTTTATTCCTGCATTAAACGATACATCACCACTAGTTAAAACCCATTGAAATAAGAACACCTCCACCAGTGGTGCTAAAAAAGGGCAAAAACGAAAGACTGTGGTCACGGGTTTTATTCTTAGAAATCTTCGTCGCTCCAGCCACCGGATGCGGCAACCTCGAAGAGGTCCACAACATCGAACGAGGCTGCAGCTTCGCCCGAGGCTACAGCGTTGTTCGAAGCTGGAGCCTCGCTCAATGCTGCAATCCTCCTCGAAGCTGCAGCATCTACAGCTTCCAAAAAGCGGGAACGCCGCCCGCCCTCCCGGTCCTTCACACCGTAGAGGTACACCCGGATGGCCGCCTCTACCTCCGTGTCAGCCGCCTTCGTTTTTTTTTGGACAGCAGCTAGAACACCAAATACAAAACACAGTAATACACAAGTTAGACTAAAATTGTTGTCTCCACCATTACGCCATCCCATTAACAAAATATGCTGTATGTTATCTGACAAAATGATGTAATAATGTGCTTGAATAACTGGAAGATGGTTTCGTACAAAATATGTTTGTGCTAATATTTTCTATCTGTGACAGCTATATTCAGACAATTATAGACACGCTTCGTCCAAGGACGTGCAATCACGAGGATTACAGCAAAACAAAAGATGCTCATACACACTGTACTGCAATGCTTTTGCTTGCTTTTGTGCACTGCAATTTGCTTTGCTATATGAATGCCTCATAAATGTTTGTGCTAGTAAAAAAATTAATTGTGCATTTTTACCCATTTTTTTTACACAATTTTTAGTTAAACACAAGATTAGCCATCTATAAACAAAAGCTATTGAGTGCATTTTAACACATAAAATATTAGATTTGTTTCTGAGCTTACCAAAGGGCTTGCATTTGTATCATAAAAAATGTACATGAACAAAAATGATATGGAGTAAAAGCTGTGGGTATTCCTGTGATCTCTCTTCCCCGATGGCTCTGATAATAGCCGCGGGTCGGAATGCTCGACCTTCTTCACCATGACCTCCCAACTCGTTCGTGAAACAGAGGGTCCCCTGTCTTGGAGGGCCCTCCCCTCACTCTCTCCCGGTGGTTCCCCTTTCCTTTCCCCCGCTCAGATGCAAACCACTGCTGACAGGCAAGGAGGTTTTGCCTCCTCTTTTCCCACTTTCACGAAGGTGACTCGTCCGGTGACCGCGAAATAGAAGGATATGTCGGTGACTTCTCAGATGCTTCCCCAATGTTGGCTCTCCGGAACCCTGCATCTCAGGTAAGGACCTTTTCTTACATTGCAGGCAAGGGGGGGGGGGGGGGGGGGGGGGCATTTTGGATGGGAACATAGTAGTTTGTACAGGAGAGTATTCTAACAAATACTCTTGGACTCCATCCTTACTCTGGTTTGTGTGTCCGCTATATTCGACAATCAAACAAAGATTCGATCATTAGCACAGACAGAAGAAATTTATTGAACCAATCCTCAGCAATGATGTGGGACCGTGCTACTAAGCTTGGTGTCTCCTTCGAGATTGCCGCCGCTGTTGAAACGGCCCTCTGGTTACTCTATCGGTACTTCTGCTCGAGATAACCAAAGGGTTATCTTAACAGTGGTGGCGATCTCAATGGAGATGTCAACCTAGTAGCACAGTCCCACACCTCTGCGGCAATGTAGACAACATTTAAGGCCACGTTACATTGGGTCGGTTTGATAAGTTATTTCTGCCGTCGGTGCCTATGATTGACTATTTTGTCTCACTCTCTTGAATATAGCGGAAAAGAAGACACTCATACCAGAGTAAGGACAGTGTCCAAGAGAATTTATGAAAACACTCTCCTATACGATCTACTATGTCCCCACCTGGAATGCTTCCCACGCCGGCAAAATAAGAAAAGGTCCTTACCTGCCATACGCGGGGTTCTAGAGAACCAAGATCTAAGAAGCATCAAAGAAGGAGCTGAGACATGTCCTATTTCTTTTGCGAACACTGGGCAAGTCCCCGTTTTCGAAAGCGGAAAAAGGAGGCGAAACCTCGCTTGTCTTTCGTGAGCCGCATTCGAGCGTGGGGCCAGGAAGAGGTCCACCCGGGGGAGTGAGAGGAGCGTCCACCAAGACCAAGGACCTTCCGCTTCACGAGCAGGCCAGGGCTCACGGCGAAAGAGGCCGAGCGTTCCAACCTGCGGCCAGTATCACAGCCATCAAGGAAAGGAGACCACAGGAATCCCCACAAAGCCCATAGAGAGACATGCTTTCCTACCTTTACCAACCCACTCCTTGTTCTTTTACCAATTTCGATTAATTAATAAGAAGTATAAAAAGTAACACTGTTGATACTGTAACTTTTTTTTATTTGTTATGCCAAGCAATTAAGATAACTTACCATTTTACTCTACTAATTGATTTTTTTAATTCTTATTATTTATTTTATTTGACAATAGTATTAGTCCTTACAATGGGGACCGTAATAGGGGTGAGCAACATAAGTGAACATAAAATAGTTACCCAGAACATGGTGTAAAACGTAACATTACCAGCATACTTTATGGTTATATTATCAGACACAACGGAAACACACTCAAGAAAGAAATACACAAAGCACTGTGAGCAACAGATTTAGATACATAATTTTTACAATAACTTCTGCAGACCTTAGTTCTTAGTTTTTCCTCAAACAATTATAAAATTCAATGGAATTTCTTATGACAGTATTAACCACTATTCTGTAAGTGCATTTGTTTAAATTTTGTGCTCTAAATGGGTAACTCATATTTTGATGCTTTGACTTGTAATACTTAGCCTTGCCACGACCCCGCAGATAAGATCAGTGTTGTTTGTAAATAAAAAAATACTAGATCAGCAAAGAAATAAACAAAATATCCAACTCTATGCCTACGGACCTTGAGTACTCAAGCTGAAGCTAAAGATTAAGCAATTACAGATCCAAATACATCCTTGGCACAATATGGCCTAAGTTGCTCTTGCGCCATAAAACCCCAAACCATCATCATCATCCAAATACATCCCCGAGACCAAAGTATGGTGCAAAATAAAAGCATTTTTTTACATGAAAAAATGGGGCACACTCTGCATGTTTTCAAGTAGAAGCTTCTTCTAAATGTTTGCTTTGTGTCGAAACATCAAGTTCATTGGGTATTTAAAAAATTACTAGATATCCATGTTCAATAAATAAAGCTGTAAATGACAGAAGTCATACCCTTGATGACGGAAAACAGCTTCGTTCCTTTAAATGGCTGCTTCCCCTGCCGCCCCACGAAAGTAAAATGTGCCTGAACTTCTTTCTTCAGGGTTCGCTCCATGATGCAGCGAACCGCATCCTTCACACTTGTTCCACCCATTAGAACAAACCGAGCTCTCTGCAATACGAACAAAACACAAAATTAGTCATGAGTGCTATATTTTCTATATCAGTTTAGGGAGCTTCACGTGCACAGTATAGCAGTAGCGTAATGTAAAATCTTGCTAACAGAGTCCTAGACAAATACCGTATTCACTCGAATGTAACGCAAGTTTTTTTTTCAAAATTTCCCTCACCTAATTTGGGGGTTCGCGTTATAATCGAAATGCTTCAAAATTCGCCTTGGCAGTGTCGCAGCACAGGCTCTTTAAAATAGCTACGAAAAATCTCGCAATCTTTCACTCTTGTGCTGGCAACATATACACGCTGGCAACCAACCGCCAATCCAAGTCTATTCTTGTTTGCGACTCGTTGCGCCCATGTTAGGGTTACCTTACCCATGTGCCCGTGTTTCGCGGGCTGCTGCTTCGTGCTTCCGCAACTGGACCCGAGGAAATGGCAACGCGACGAGCTCAGTACGACATTCACTTTAAAAGAAGTGAAATTTTGATGGCTGAGGAAATCGGAAACTCTGCCGCGGCTCGGCGGCTA